TTAAGAATTTGATGCTCAAAAAATACAAAACTTAAGAATTTACCGATAAGAACACGTGCTCAGCTGCACGCCCTGTTAGGAACAAGAACACACACCTGAGGTGCAAAACTGCTGCTACAAATAAAAACGACAGCAATGCAGCGGCTGCCAGATAAGAATACTCGCAGGGGGAGGGAGGGAAGAGGGTGGAGTGGTCCCAGAGAAGGGAGTATTGGATTTGGGAGGGGTACATACCCCACATATTAATATTTGTATTTTTTTAGAGGGGGAGAGTGGGCATTGTACGCATGCGTCGTGCCCCTGGGTGCCCCCAAGAAAAGCGTGCATGCCACGCAACGTGCAGCGTGCCACGAGCTGCCTGCGGTGCAGGGGGATCATGTCCCAGTGCAGTCTCTTATCCCATGGGATATTGAAAGAGCTCGGCAAACTTGCAGAGTTGAAACAAAGGGGTCTGATTCTTGACCGTCACTTCGAAACAATCAAAGCACACGTACGTGAAGGCGGGCAACTCCGTTGCGAAGGAGCGATGGGACGCCATCGAGAGCGCGTGGGGGCTGAAGCAGAACGGTGTCTTCGACGAAGAAGAGTGGGTCACGCAGATTGACGGCGAAACGTAGGGTATTACCAGCAGCACCCGCCTGTCCTCTTCACCCCAACAAGATGCCGGCAGCGTGCGAGGTGCTGCACCGCCGTCTTAGCACCCACCTGCTGCTGCAGGTACCGCGAGGAGAAAGGCCGTGGATCGCGGGAAGCAAGCTAGGGAGAGAGCTGCCAAAGGCACTTTAGGCGGCAACATCTGGACGCGTTCGCGATTGGCAGCCGAGGACCGGTGAGCACACAGTTACATTTCGCTACCGTTATAGTCTACATACACTTTCGTTTTTCAAGAACTCCCGTGAAACGATGACATGATGAGGACCATTTTTTTTCAGTAGCGGCGCGTAATATTAAAAAAAAAGCTCGTAGTTTTGGGGCTGGCCCCTGCTGGCAACGACTGCATTTCGCACGCCGTTTCTTGCTGTAGGTGCCCAAGCAAGTGGAGGAGTGTCGAGTTCTCGTCAACTGCGTCTGCTGGCAAGAGCCAACTCCAGTGCAAATACTCCGGAAAGTTGTGCCTTTTTCAGATTCGTGGAATGCTGCTGTTGTGCAGACAAGACAAGATAAAGTTTTCGTCCATCCCCCTTTTTTTCAAGCAAGACCAGAACATTAAAAGAAAATAGTATAGACAGATATTCTAGTTTTGATGCCGGCGACTTTGTTTTGGCGTCACAACAGTGCACGTTCTCTGCTCGATACTTGGTTTGAATAGGCACGAACGAAACAGACAGCTTTCGGCTCTCCACGGAGGTTTTGAGGTCGAAAGCGCCACGCTCCATAGCGAACGATACATGACGTTACTCGTTGAATCACCCCCCGGGCAACTCCGCCCTGCTTCCNTGATGCCGGCGACTTTGTTTTGGCGTCACAACAGTGCACGTTCTCTGCTCGATACTTGGTTTGAATAGGCACGAACGAAACAGACAGCTTTCGGCTCTCCACGGAGGTTTTGAGGTCGAAAGCGCCACGCTCCATAGCGAACGATACATGACGTTACTCGTTGAATCACCCCCCGGGCAACTCCGCCCTGCTTCCACCTTGCCATACAGATTGAGCGGACTCGCGGTGGAGTGAAAGAGCTCATATCCGGTATAAGCTTTCCACCTCCGACCCCGGAGTCCCGCCGATCTTGCCCTCACTGTCCCATGACCTTCGTGAACGAGCAAGGCCTTGGGATCCACGTGAGAACGCAGCACAGCAGTGCAAACATGTCCAACGGCGTGCGGCTGCTGCGCATGTTACGGAAGGATGTCGGAGGGAGTGTCCTGCCGTGGGAAGCAGCCGGGCCTGGGCGTTGTTGGCACGTGAAGTTCGATCATGCGACGGGGACGGCTTCGTTTGTCCTCCAGCGGAAGCGCTTTCTCGATCTCGACTTGGATAGCGACGGCTTTACGGAGGGCTGATCACTCACCAATCTCAGAAGGACACTCGCCACCTGTACGACTACTGTGTGCAGCTGGAGCTAGACCAGAGTACGCGTAAGATGAAGTTGCCCTTAGACAAGTACAGCGGAGATTCGGATGCGGCTGTAGGCTCCTGGGTTTTGCTTGAGGGCATTAGTAGATCAGGAAGGGTACGCAGGACCAACGTCACCCTTGTGGACCAAGAAGGTTGACAGTTGCTGCTGCATGCCTTGGTATTTTCTTGCATCGACAGCAGTACTAGTGTTGCTCATGGTTGACAGCCGACAATATAGCAAATGATGTTAAAATACTGTAAGAAAAAGAACGCCCCTTTCTGGAGAAGAATGGACGACGAAATATGAACTTGGCAAATAAGAAGTGGTGCTCGGGTTGGGGCAGCCAATAAGAACTGAGCCTCGCCCAATATAGGAGGTTCTTAAGTGCGGGCCGGCACTGTATTACCGGTTGGCATTACGAGCACATTTGAGGCCGAATTTTCGTTCACAGTACATCAAAGGTAACTACTGGATATTATGTCCGCGTACAAGTGTCGATAGGCACACCAATTCATTCGTAGCACATTTCAGAGGCCCGGATGCGTGTGTACGTGCGAATGTCGAGGCCGAGGAATGCGGGACATCGGAACGCTAGTAGTACACGTCGAAACGTGCGTACGTGTACACCAGCGTCGGGAGACAGCCACGATTCGGTGAGAGTGCATTGCTTCATTGCCACAATTTTATTGTCGCATAGTCTACCACTTATTTACTTCCGCATCAATTCACGCATTTCACTCTGTTGCGAATGTTGCAATGTGGTCATGAGTCCATGCTCATCGACACAATTGTTTGGCAACAGAGATATATCGCTGAAAAACGTCCACGCCCTCTTTGATGACTCTCGTAAGCCCGTGGACCTTTATCTTTTAAGGCTGACATTGCTACCTAACAGGTACCAAGTAGCATTACATTCCGTGCAATACCTGGCGACGAGCAAGTCGCACCGCCGCAGAGCACCGGCAGGCAGTCGTACCGCATGTCGAGGCTGCATCGAGAACTCAAACCATCCAGGCGTCAAACCCCAACCACAACCCCATGACAACGCGAAAGAACAAAGGTCGTCCTGCTGCCGCGAGGGGCGGGGCCGATCGAGGTTCACGTTCCAGTCACTCCGCCCCCTCGTCGACCCCCACCCCCCAATCGTACTCGAAGTTCTGCAACCACAGGAAATGAGACCTTAGAGCTCGCGGGCACTTCGCTGCTACTCCGCCGACACCCGGAGGTTGTTTCAGGAGTTCCTTCGTGAAGGCCGCGTTCTTGGCCTTGTGCGTCAACAGCTTTTCTCGGAGCAAGAATGACAGTTGCGGGCGGCATTTCACGGGAACAATGGATTGGTGGGCAAGGGTGACATACTGTAGTTTCGTTGTTGGGAGAAGCACTTCTGCACTGCCGTCCTCGCATTCTTGCAGTGGTAACAACAACAACAACAACAACAACAACAACAACAACAACAACAGTATCAGGGACAGCAACAATGACGACCACGACAACCGCAGATGCTGCCTCACCTTGCTCCGAGAATAATTGGACCGCCCACAGCCGGCTATCCTCGCGTTCTTCCTGGCGGCAAAGTCACTGAAAACGAAAATTGGAGCAACGACCACACTTTTCCACAACCATCCGGGAATGGGGAAATATTTTGGAGAAGTATCTGCGAGGCAGGTCTTTGCCGGCGGGTTTTCCCTTTTCTTGACTTTGAGTTTGAGCGCGGGGGGATACAGCCTGTTATACGCCCGCCCTAAGGTAGCGCCCCAAGACACACTCGTGATATCTGCAACGTGCTCGCATGCCGTCCTGCCATGTCGAAGGACGTGGCACTCGATATCATTTCATGTTTTGCACTACCGACCCTACATGTGCACATAGTTCGCCCGTTCTCGTGTCGAATTCAAGGCGGTAAAACTTGCGTCTTTGAAAAAAAAACGGCGATCGAAGGATCTACATCGACCGCTCGCTGCAATCTACCCTAGTGCAGACGCGCTTGACGTTCGTTCTATCTTGGTAAAGTTTTACGCACAGGAGAATTGCTGTCCCCGGGACCTATCGGCCTTGTTCTTGGCGGAAAGCTCGTACAAGCCCCCCCTCAACATCATTTTGCACCGATGTTGAGATAACGACCAGAAAGAAGAACAGCCATCGGACGATATACCACCCAGTTGTCTTTCAGGGATGCCGAACAGATAAAAAACACGCAATAACGTCACTTACGATGTGTGAAGGGCAAACGTCTGGGGAAAACATTCGACAATCCGACAAGGAAGGTACAACAGAGCCAAGACAGCTGGTAAATAGGCTGCGACACATTGCTACGCGTGTGTACGAATGGTTTCCATGCCATGGTTTTTTGTCATCTATTACCGCTGCTCTTGGGGTCGACGGAACGCACGATTCGGTCATCGCAGCTGAGAAAAAAAATGTCCGGGAAAACACATCAGCTCTCTGCATGGTTGACGCGGTTGTTGCATCGACTGCTCATGTTTCGTTTTCGTCTTCACCTGTCTATCTGATAGAGGCGGCGCCTCTCCGCCATCACGTGCTCCCGTTCCAGGTTGATGGTTATAGGGGACACTGATAACAAGGGAAACAGCGGGAAATGAAGAATTGTTGCTCGCTTTGGGCGAATGATTGGGGTTGATTTGGTGTGGACATGCGTATGCCACCGACTTCCAGGTGTGCATCGACATAATCATCCATTCCACGAAAGGAGCGCAGAGTGAATAGAGAACACCGGACATGCTTGGATCGATGTCCCCACAAAGCAAGGCAAACCCCCTACGGTAGAAGGTGGGGTGGGGGTGTTTGTCAGAACAAGTGACTCGCTCGGCTCTGCAAGTGTGTGTGTGTCGATGCGTAGACCTCACAGGCACGTGACAAGCGGAGTAAAGTGCCTGGCGATGGCTCTATCTTCACTCTTACCTAGGTCTCCTGCCCTCAACGGTTCAACGGGTGTCCATTTCTCCGGCCCCGCTGAGGGCGCCGCTGAGGTCTCCCCCCCGGCCCTGTTTCCAGCAGCGGCGACCACATTCTCCACAGCGCCCCGCTGGTCATGTCCACCGCCTCTGCTGTTGCTCCCGCCACCGCCGCGGTCTCCTCCTCCAACGGCACCTCCAACGCCACCGCTCCCAACACCACCAGCACAGCCGTCCCGATGCTGCTGTTCTCGGAGCGATCTTCTTTGCTCGATCTTGTCCCTGGTCCGGTTGACGTAGAGGGACTGGTCCGTAGGGTCCGCCACCGGCTCCCTGAGCATGAGGAGGTCGAAGGAACTGTCCAGAAGCGGGCCGACGTAGTAGCCGCGCAAGGGCAGCGTCCCCTCTAGCGGCCTCGGCTTGGCAACGCTGTGGCCATGGCCGGGGAGGCGCGGAGTACTGCCGATGTCGCCTTTGTCACCGCCGACTCCAAACGTCGCTGTCGCCGTTCCGGGGGCTGGCCGTCGGTCCCGGCCGGGATGGAGAACCGCGCTTTGAGGCGTGGATCGTTGTCGTTGCGCTGCTACCTCTGTGCGCCTTGGCGGCGAAGACGTTGATGCGCGCGGTTCTTGTCGGGCTGCTGCCGCGGACCAACGGCGGTGGTGCGGTCGGAGATGCTCGCTTCGCAGCCGTCGGTCTCGCCTCCGCTTGGCGCAGACATGGCCGATTTCTTCCAGGAGCACCTCGAGAGACGGGGTTTCCACGGGGTTGCTGTTGTTGACGTCGTCGTCATGGTCGTCGTATGTATCGCTCTCTGTAATACCCCGGCTGTTGGTGTGGATGCCGTTGCTGTTGCTGTTGACGCCGCTGCCGCCGCCGCCGCCGCCGTCGTCGTCGCTGCGGTGTTTGCGGGGTTCTAGACTGGTCGTGTCACGGCGTTCGGTGCTTCCTTTGGTTTCGTTCCCCCGAAGCTCCAAGAACAAGACGCTCGTGGCGTCTGAAGCGAGAGCACGGTGAAGAGCGGCCGTCCCCGCGCGGCCGATGCAGTTGAACGCCAGATCGAGACCCAAGAAGCCCTCGCCTGGTGCTTCCGTCGTCGTCGAACTTTCGCCCAACACGTCGGACGGGGGCATAGGCCTTGACGAGGAGGAGGACTTTGTTTCTGCCGATGCCAAGAGCGGTGATGACCGCTTGTCGAGTACAGACCCGACCGAAGTGATCGCCGCTGCTTGAGGTTCTCGTTGCAGCGGAAGACCAAGCCGCCCCGGAGAGGCAGGGGTTGAAGTCGTACGCGAAGCTTGGTCGGCGGCACGCAGCGCAGGAGACTGTGTTCGGTACCCGACGACTTGGCTCTTGGCGGAGGCGATAGGCCGGCTTGTGCATGAGGTGGAGATCGCGGCGGCGGCGGCGGCGGCGGCGGCCGCGGGGCTTGATCGTGGCACTTCTTGAACGTTTGGCCTGGGAAAAGAAAAGTCGGAGATCTGAAACGTGCCACCTAGGCTTCCGCCACGACTGTCTTCGTTGTTCCTTACGCTGCTGCTGCGGCGGCGGCGAATGGGGTGACGGTTGTGACTTTGGTGATGGAGGCCGTTCTGCTTAAGCCCGGCCGCCAAGGCCCTGGGAAAAAGTACAGGAAAACAACGAAACGGCGGGAAGCGAGAAAACGCAATAAAAACGGAGAGGGGAAACGTGGGCGAGGGGGTGGCAGACAGCCCACGGACTGGCATCGCAAGGCCACACGCCATATTTTTCACGGGGCAGCGAAGTTGAGGCTAGGGTCAATGCAGGAAAATTGTCCATTTTCACGAGGACTGTATAGTACCGAAGCGGGGGGGGGAGAGTAACAGAACAAGTTGTTCGGGTTAATTGTTGAGTTTTCGAGGACAGCACAAGGTTGAGATCCAAACCATGCTGCACCTGCCCGGCATCTACAGGTGAACTTCGCGCCACAACTCGTTCGGTTTGTATAGCCAATGCGGCAACAATGTGGATCAGACCACGGAGGGAACAGCGCCAGGGACAAAGTTTTGTATGGTGACCAATTGGTGATCGAGCAACAGAGTCAAGCGAGCTTCGTGCTCGCCGCCACCTCAAGGCACGATATGATTGCCTTCTAACAGCGCGAGGCTCCACCTTCTGAGGCATTTCTGACGCAAAGGGTTTCGCGCGGCTTTTCGAGATAAAATCTCCTACTCAAGTCTCCATTTGGTGCGAGGCTTCCATCGTACCGTGCCCCCTGGTCCG